CAAAATGTGGCCCGGGAGTGGAGTTCTGGGAAGTCGAAGAGCACGAAGTGGCCTACAGTTGGCTCCGGGCATCCAAAATGTGGCCTGGGAATGGAGTTTTGGGAGCACCAAGAGCGATTTTGCGAGGATGTCCAAAATGATTTCGGCTTCGACGGCAGCCTCCCCGGGTCCCGCCTAGACCCCCCTGAGGAGTCATGATGCTCTCTTTTGAGACCACTAGAAACCTATCAGCAAGAGCTGTTAGGTAAAAAACCTGAATGGAAACATACTCGCGCGGGGCTTTGTACCACTGTGGACTTGTTAATTCGAATTTGCAGCGCATGATTTCCAACACTCCTCGGTGCCATATGAAGGACTCAGGCGTGGGGGGAACGCAGAAGAGCAATATTCACGGCGCCCACGCAAGAAAATAACTGTGCGTGGGCGGGGAAGACGCGAACGCGAGCGAGTTGGAAGCGAGCGAATGGCCTGGAGCGTCCACGAGTGCGGGACGACTACGCGTCTCTGGGAAAGAATTGGCCATGGGCGACATCGCCCTGGGAAGTGGCGGCGGTGCGAAAATCGGTGGCGCCGGCGCACGCACAAGCGAAGACGACAAAGGAAACTTGTTCGGGCGATCTACCGCTGGCGCATCCAGGAGCCATTCGTGCACGCGCTGCCTCTAAAGTAAGAGTTCGGCAAGAGGCCGCCGGTTTTCCAAAATGATCCTCAACCGCACGCGCTGGCCACCTCTATCTTGGAAACTTGGACCAAGGTCTGGACCGCCCATGACCTCCCCGATGTCCAACTACCCTCCGACGCCAGCGGCTGGGATGACCCGCCACCCATCACGCTGGCAGAGATTCGTGGCGCAGTGCGCCGGGAGATCACACCGACACCTATGGAGCACCTAAGTGACGAAGCGCTGGGAGATCTTGCGGCGATGTTCATGGTATGCGAGGCGCGCGCACCCCCTCGGATCGCATCTAAAGCGGGATGGTGCGATTAGCGAAGCCTGGTGGAGGGCTAAGGCTGGTCGCCCCGAAGACGCAAGCCCCCCTCAGCGTGACACGCCGCGAAAACTACAACTGGGGCCCAAGAGGCCCCCGAAAGAAACCCCAGCCCTTCTTTGGGGTCGGCGGCAGAGGCGGCAACCTTTAGTTATAAGTACCTGTTTCTCACCTGGTCGGCAATCTCTTCGGAAGCTTGACTGGCAGTGGTCCACAGCCAAGAGGATCCTCCTCCTCCTTCTCATCCTCTTCCCCTCTTCCTGATGATTGACTCCTCCCTGTCGCTCCCCGAGACATGTCGGTTGAGCGGGCTGGGCGTTTAGCCTGAGACTTGCTCATCATTTATGACCGTGACCTCAAGTTTCACGGATGGAAGGCGGTTTTGTTTCAAAAAATGTGGCTCTCGCCACAGCGCCGCGCACATTCGTCTGAAAAGTCTGCAGCAGATTCTAATCATGAGGGCGTTTCGTTGTCAAAATGTGATCTCGCCTCAGCGCCGTGTCCAGTCTTCTGAACAGTTTGCAGCAGCTTTGCGGATGGAGGGTGGTTCCTTGTCAAAATTTGGCTCTCGCTTGAGGCGCCGCGAACATTCGTCCTAAAAACTTGCAACTGTTTCAATGATGCAGGGCGGCTCGTTTTCAAGAAGTGGATTTCGACTTAACGCCGCGGACTTTCGTCTAAAAGCTGGCAGCAATGTCAAGGATTCGCATGGCAGAAAAAAAAATCAGAAACGGCGTTCTGGCACGGATGCAAAATCGTTCATACGTCTTGGGATTGCACTGGCCCCCTCCCCTCCTCCTCCTCCTCCTTCTCCTCCTCCTCCTCCTCATCCTTCTTCTCCCATCCCGCTCCTCGGCAAGATGCATGCCACCACACGATACCAAAGCTCCACTCTCACTCGCGAAACGAAAACGCAAACATGAGAAACTCCCTAATGCACAAGTCGCGTCCCTGGCTCATGAGGACACGCCGGCAATGTGACTCGGAGGCGGAGGACCGAGGAACAAGAGGAGGAAGAAGACGAGGGGCACGTGCCCCTAGCTGTTCGTGGACAGATGGACAAGAGCCCCGCAGCCGACCACTTCTCTCCCCGCCCCCTGGCCCTCCCTTCTCGCCGTCCTCATCGTCCACTTTGTCCCCATCCGCTTTCTCCTGCTGCCGCACTCGGTCAGAGAAAGCAGGGAACCGAAGCAGGCGCAGGGACGCTCTTCCGGGAGCAGGGCGAGGGGGAGCAAGGCGGCCGAACCCTCGAGGCCACCTGTGCTGCTGTGAAGCCCTCGAGCTGCCCGCATGGCTGGCCAAAGCTTCCCCGCCCCCTCCCGTGGCTGCGGCTGCAGAATGAACACGCTCCCATCTCGTCGCGTTGGCGTCCACGTCCGTGCCCCCTCCCCTGCCACTGCTGGCGAATGTATGGGATCTTCTGACCCGGAGCAAATCCAGACCCGGGTCAGTCAGGCCTTGCAGAATCCTGCAATATCCTGCAAGATCCTGCACCCTAGCCTGGGTCAATGCGAAGGATCCTGAGAGATCCTGCAGGATCATGCACCCAAGCCCGGGTCAATGCGACCCTGGCCCTGCAGGGTCCTGCAAAATCGGGCGCTCTGGCTGATCCCCGTTTGCATTGACCCCCGTCTCAAGGCTCCCGAGAATGCACGTGCTGCCCCTCTTGCCGGCAGTCGAACTGTTCGAGAACAACGAGCTGCACGGCATTCCTTCTGGTTTCCTGGCACTCCGAGGCAACTGGATACACTCTGGTGTGGACCAGCACAACGCATGCGCAATGTGCACGAGCTGGCTTCAGCAGGAGAATGCGTCGAGAACAATATCGCGGAGGACTCGGACGACCAGACTGACTGCTCTCACTGTGAAGGTGAACTTGCACGTGGACGTCCAGCAGAATCGCACGCCAAATGAAAGACCCCTTCGAGTGCGCCACTACACTACTCAGCCGCAACCACTGTGGTCGCAACCTTCGCCCATATCACATGAGGCGCAAAATCTTCCTCCATCCTCTAATGGCGCGCTTGCCATTGACACCAGGTACTTTGCACGGGAGGAAGAGAGAAACCATCTGATGGGTGCAACCCCCATCGAGAGGGGCGAAGGCCGATGCTGCGCGCAGTACTGCCCAGGCCGAAGCAGCGACCCAACAGCACTATCACAATACATCACCAACTGGCGCGTCAACTGCACGCGACGCCTGGCCATCGTCAACACAGGAGGGAACATCCTTCTCCTGCATGTTTCGCTCTGGAGCGATCTGTGATGGTCCTGGGGCCCGGGGCTGTGAAGAAATTGCACCGTGGGAAAAAACTGCAACGCCCGGATCTCAGGGCACAGAACTTCGCGATCCTGTGGCCTCGCTCACCCCTCTGCGAGATTGTTTTCTGTGTTATTTCCCCGTGACGATCGTTGACCGGGGGGGGAGGGGCTTGGTGACTACCTACCAGACCACCCCAACCCAACCCGAAGACCCGAATTTGACCCGGATTTCGGGTTGGGGAGGGTACGGGTTCCATGTGTGTTTTCAGTGTTCTCCGCCCCCCCAACTGGAAATGGAGGGCAAATTGAAGCCTTCGGGTTGGGTTGGGGTGGTTTGGTGAGTGGTGAGTTGGGGCAGGGCTGAACCTAAACGGTGCTTTTCGTTTTCGTTTCGCTTTCGTTTTCCCTAGTTTTGTCTTCAATCCGCCTTTGACGCAAAACGAAATCGAAACGAAAGCGGCCCACGAAACCGCCCAAACACCGTTCAGGTCCACCCCTGGGTTGGGGACCCGAAGTGCCCGTAACGATTGGGCGGGGTGCGGCACCTGCGCGAAGCCTGCCAGCTCCGAGCTCCGACGGGGCGCCTGCGATCACCGAGCCATGGGCCACCCCCCCAAAGCCCGCACGATCGTCGGGGGCCGGGGGGGGGGGGGGGGCCCAGCCCGTGCAGCGACCGCTTCGCAAGATCAGCCTCTCGCTCACCCCATCCCCCGATCGGGGGTTCCTACAGATGCCCCTGGCCCATTCAAGGGAAGTCTAAGAAAGAAAGAACAGAAACTTGAATATTTACTGATGCTTGAGATCCAGATCCAGGAAGTGAATAACCATCAATCACAAAGTCTGGAACAGTGTTCGCTTTGCTTAAAGTAGGGTGCTCCAAACTTCTCACTCGGGAGATCCTGGGGGCGCCCTGGGCCAGTGTCGCTTCTCTGGCAACACCCCACCCGACGGGCCTCCGCCGCCCGAGACACGGCCGCGCCTGGGCAACCCGCGGACGCGGGGGATTCGGCACCCAGGGCACCACTGCGCCTGCACCCACACAGAACTTTCGAGCGCAGCGAGTCCTACCCAGACATGCCCGCGTTGCGAACTCATCACTTGAGAAGGGACCGACCGTCCCGGCATTCCTGTGGGCCTAGCCCGGCATATCCCCAGAACAAGAGAACTCTCAAACAACAAAACCTGTGTTCTTGGAACAAGATAAACGATACATTACATCAAGGCGGTCTCAACCAGAAATCTTCTAAGAACATCTGGCGCACACCTTCAAAGGATCTTGGGACATTATTTGATGGGCCTCTAGGCAGCCCAACACGCTTCGCCACTGCTTGAATCACGACGGAAAACATTTAACAATTGTCAACCTTCCGAAACCCTCCCTGGGCCTCGGGACCGTCAACTAATGAATATTCGGGAGGACAGGGCGGGGAACAGGTCGGGATCGGGGCACCGCGTGTTGAACAACACAAGACATCGCAGGCCTGGGTAGCGCAGTCCCAGGCTGGCACTGTGCTGACAGCGTCGCCCCTGCTAACACTGCAGACGCTCTCGAATGCAGCCAGCGACCCCTATACGCCACGCATGCTGAGGGATCATCGAACCGCCCCCCGACCCCACACCTCAGGTCCGCCTGCCATCCGAACGCCAAAGGGGTGGTGGGGGTGACCCCCAGGGTGACGAGCTGAGCAACAATTCGGCCGCTTAGCCTTCCCCAGATCCGAAGCCTCGACCCAGCCAGCCGCTTTTGAAGCCAATTGACTCAAGGGCGGGAGCGAACAGTCCCCAAACCTCCGACGGTGTGCTGTTTCCCAACACGCGGGCCCAAAAACTCTCGACCTGGTGACCATGGCCACAAGACCAACTTTTCCTGTCCCGGCCCGCTCTCCGACAGTCCCAGCGCCCAACCCCTGGACGTCGGAAGCGTGGCAAGAAGAACGGCCGTGACTTCTCGATGCGCCGGAGGTCTGGTTCAACACATGTGATCTGGGCAAGCGGTGGAGATGGATGCATGTGGCCCTCCCCCTACAGGGCCGGAGTCTAGCCATATCCACCGCCTGCAGAGGCCCCTAGTGGTGGTTCTGGATGAATCCCCGCCTCGGAGCTGCTGCAACGCCATGGCTCGTGTGTTCGGACATAGGCCCGACCAGGAAAACCACACATGTACTGCTGCCGCTGCTCCCCAGGACCCCTCCTGGAGGCCGTTCCGACCAGAATCCCACCAGCCCTTTGGGCGTGAGTGGTTTAGCGAGCTCTCTCTGTTCTCACCCCCCCTTCTTCCCCTTCGGGGAAGGGTTTACCCCTCCCCCTACCCCCCCCCCCCTGGACCTGGAGAGGGGGTTTCGCGGGTCGTTGGAGGGGTCTTTTTCGACTCCTGGGAGGGCTAAAAAACGACACCACTCACGAGGATTCTGGCCCAGACGGGGGGGAGGAGAAAAGTGCTCCCTTCTTCTTTGAAGCCAAAATCATTGATTTTACTACGGTTTTGGCCCCATTTTGGCCTTCTGAGGGGGCAGCGCTAATTAAAGCTCCCCTCTTCTTTCAAGCCAAGATCATTGATTTTACTAAGGTTTTGGCCACATTTTAGCCCTCTGAGGGGGCAGCGCTAATTAAAGCTCCCCTCTTCTTTGATCCATTTCCTCCAAGATGGCCCCAAGAAGCGCCCAGGAGGCACCAAGAGGCCCCAAGATGGCCCCAAGAGGCCCCCAGGAGGCCCCCAAGAGGATCCCAAACGGCCCAAAGAGGCCCCCCCGAGGCACCCAAGACGCCGAAAAGCCCATCAGGACGACCCTCTACTCGCCTGGGCGTCGTTTCTGGACGGGCAGGAGGAGGGGCCCGAACGACTCACACCAGGACGAGGGGCCCGAACAACTCGCACCACGAGAAGCCCGAACGACTCACACCAGGACGAAGAGCCCGAACGACTCACACCACGAAGAGCCCGAACGACTCACACCAGGAAGAAGGGCCCGAACGACTCACACCAGGACGAGAAACCCCAAACGACTCAAACCACGAGGAGCGCTTTCTCTCCCTCCTCCTCCGCCTCGTCCTTCTCCCGCTCCCACCACAAGGAGGATGTACAAGGAGGCGGGAGGAAGGAGGAACAGGGGAGATATGCGGGGGCAGGCGGAAACACGCCTGAAAAACACGACTGTCGGCATGCTTCGCTAGAGTTGCTGTTTTGAGATGGGCTGGTGGGGATACGCGAAGCGTGAAGAATTCCGAGGCGAATCCAGCCGTGGCGACGGGGCCTCCAAGGAGGCCCCCCAAAAAGGCGAAAACATGGCAAAAGCAGCGGTATCGGTGCCGCGGATTCGTGCCATGTCGACTTCAGCGCTGGCTCCTGACACTCCGGGCATCGGTCAACCTTGAACGATTGGTCGTTTCCGAAATCTCAGATCGTTCTACATCGACCGATTCTGGATCGCTGGCGGCGCTAGACGTTGAACGCCAGCGGCGGAATCGCCGCCGGTCGACAGGACGCGAACCCATCTTACTTTTCCTTCCTCTCGTCAACACCCAAACACGTCTCAAAACTACAGGAAACTCCCCGCGTTGGCGCCCGGTCCTCGTGCTCGGGGAGACGTAGGACTCGGGTACGGGGGAATAGGGTGGCACGACGGGGCTGTCAGGAACATGACGAGACCCAATCTGAAATTGGACGCGAGCTCCCGCTGGCGCTCTCGAAAACTCTGGAAAGCAGCACCAACACAAAGGCAGGGGGTTGCCATGATCCTGGATGTTGATGCTGGTGGAAATCTGTCGACCACCTGGGAAGCCCCCACATTACCACCATCACCGAGATCTGGGTCGTCTTCCCTCGATGTAGGCACACTGCCGATCTTGGTGTTGGTGCCAACCTCTAGGCCTCCGAAAACCGAGAACAAAGGGTTTCGCGAGGTGTCGGAGCGTCCAAAACGGCCTCGGCGAGGAAGCCAAAGTCATTGGTTTTGCCAGGGTTGTGGCTCCATTTTGGCCTCCTGGGGGGGGGGGACGCAAATTGGGCACCCCCCCTCCTGTGATCGATCTCACCCAAGATGGCCCAAAGATGGCCCCCAAGGCTCCCAAGGGTGCCCCAAGAGGGCCCCGAGCGAACTCGAGTCTCACGCTTCTCTGCCCAATGCCCCCGCCCCTCCTGCCCGGCAGGCGCGCCGATGCCCCTCGGGGACGCCGTGCCGAAGGCCGCCGGCTGCTGCCACTGGCGCTGAGCGCGGCGCGCGGGGAGGCGGCGCGGGCGGGTTCCCTCTGGCCCGCCTGCCCAGCGTGGCGGGCCTTCTGGTGCTGGCCAGGCTCTGAGCGCCGGGGCTTGCAGCGTGCTGGTCGTGTGCAGAAGCGGCGAGAGTGCATATTCGAGAGCGGCCTGGGCGCTGTCGCCGACAAGTCAGACGCCCCCAGACCGCCCCAGAACAGCCCCAAGACCCCAAGACGGCCCAGGAAGCCCTCACGACTGCCTGAAAACGGCTTCAAAAACCCCCGGAGAGGGTCCATCACTCTGCATTAGTACGGCGACGGTCAGAACATCAGTAGAGATATGCATATGTAAGTCAGAGGCAATCGGTTCCGATTCAATCGAAACTCAATTGTTTCTCTGGGGCCGATTACATTCACACGCAGAAGAACACATAGTGCAGAGGCTTGGTCGATGCTGCCATTGAATGGAGAGCAAATCAAATACATTCATTCTTGGCCAAAATGCAAACTGCATGTGGTTTGGAATATACAAAAGATTGGCAATGCGTTCTAGCGTTCGCACGAGCAACGAATGAGACACATGTTGAAACAAAATCTGAACTTGGCAAATTGTACCGCGTAAAAAACCACATATACTTACGGCACAAAATCAAGGCAATGTACGTCACCAACGAAATATACGGTCGATTCCCATCGTGATTTCGCTCAGGGAGCAGGCTACACTGAACATGCTCAATTGATCACAACATGGAATACAGAAGATGTCCAAGCACCGTACAAAAAGAGAGACCATCGACTTCAAAGCCTGGCGCAGGCAAATTCCACAACAAACCAAACACACAAACAAAAAGGTCAGAAATGATGCGAGACCCAGAAGATGAGCAATCAGAGGGGCCGACGATGCCAGCAGAAGCGAATCCTCCTAACTATTTCAAGAACGTTGTCACAGAGATTGTCGTTCAATGCAAGTGCGTCGACTGATTGTTTTTTGGGGGGCGCTTTGAGTTGCGACAGCATCAGGCAATACATGTTTGCTGAAAGTGGGCGAGTGCCAACAACATTTGTCAAGGCAGTGCAAGCACAAACAAGTTTAGCAGATACCTCAACCGTCGTATGACGAACAATTGGAGCGCGCCAGAATTGTTTGAGCAGGGGGGATGTGCCACGCAAAACTGAAAACAAAGAATGAATCAACCCGCTTTTGAAAGAACGGAACTGATTTGCCAATGAGTGTCAATAAGCTGCCGTAAATGCTAGCGGTAACATCCAAAGATCGCCGTTCAACTTGAGACAAGAAATTGGTGGTTATGTGCGCCACCCCCCGTATTTTTGCGAGCTGTACACCTTTATCTTACAGTGCGGAGGCTCATTTGAATCAAGTGTCGAGCGAAGAGAAATAGGGCGACAAATGTTGTTAGATGCACGTTCCGATATACGTGTGCAGCCAATGTGTGCGTTGACGGGCAATCAATTGCAACTTGCAACCATCGCCGAGCCACCCGCATACATTGCGCAAGACATGTTTGGAAATCAACTTGCCATAAGGCATAAACGAGAAATCTACGACAAAGCGACTGCGGTTGCCGATGCTGTGCAACCAAGCGAGAGCGCAGAAATATGTGTGGATCCCATTGACCCAATGTTCGAGTCAGGAGATCAAAAATCCGCCGACCCTGTCGGCGTGTGCGAGGGGCTTCCTCGTCCGTTCCTCGCCGCCCCCCCTTCTTCCTTCCCCCTTTTTTCTTTTTGGGCCGTACCCTCCTGCCGTCATGCCGTTGTCGATTCGAAGGGAAGCCCCTTCCCTTTGATCCCTTCCCCAGGGGGGGGGGGTCCCGCCAGGGGTGGGGGAGGGTGGGGGGGTGGGTGGGGGGGCAGATTCGTTTTTCCTCGGGCGGCCTCGAAACCTCGAAAACACTCCAAATGAGGTCCGAATGCCCAAGATGGCCCCCGAGACGGCCCAAGAGTGCCCCGAGTCGCCCAAAGATCGGCCGAAGACGCCCAAGATAGCCCCAAGACCGTCCAAGAAGCCTTCAAGACGTCCCAAGCCATTACTTTTCCATCGGAAATTTACATTTTTAGCACATACGACGTTTCGGCCTTCACGGCGTCACAGACAGCTTCGTCTTCAGGGTCGGCGGCACCGGCCGTAAGGCCTTCGCAATACTTCAAATATGTGTACCCCAGGGAGGCCTACTGTGGCACAGCCCGCGCTTGCCTTCCATCAAGTGGTAGGTGCCAATGGTTGTGTATGAACTGTGATTCGGTTTGCGCCCAACTCATTATGATTTCTCTATTCCCAGATTTGGTCGTACATTTGCGATGATCTTTCCGTGCACGTTTCTTTGGAATGAGAAACAGGATATCGCATTTCGTTTTCAAATATGCGTCGGTGTCGCTTGGGTTCAAATAGCGTAGATGCATCGGGAACGTTGGAGCAGCAGCAGTAATGTAGTGACTCAATCGGCTGCTGAACATCATGTAGCGTTGTGGCGCCAGTGTTGTCAATGTCGTGTTTCTCCACGCCAACAAACTTGACAAGTCCAATATTTTGGAAGCACAAGTCCGTTCGAGTACATTAATCAATCTACCAACGCAGAGCAACGTTGGTATCATATTTTCAAATTGAGCAGAATATGTTCGGCATGTTCGTGTTCAGCAAGTTAAGGATCCGAGTTCGCTCGGGCAATTTGAGCAACGCTGTCGTTTCAGAATGCATTTGGTATTTCGTTGTGCCTGTTCATGTCATATCTTTTCGGGCACATTGAGCACTGTTTGAATGTTTAGCCAATGGCCCACCACATGTTGTTGCAACTTACTCTTGCGTTTAGTGCAACATGTTCAGGTTCCTTGTGAGCGAAACCAGAGGCATTACGCACAATAATATGACACTATAATAACATGTCCATGCCAATACCCAAGTGTGTTTGGCTCGATTACCGGAAGTGTGAGTTGATCATTTTAAGCGCTGCTCGAGAACATCAAGCAAATTTCGACATTCTGCAATTGCCTTGGAATGAATGAACAAAGTTGATGGCTCCGGCAAATTAGCATCTGCAAATTTCTACACAACAAATCGTTTAGCATTGTCCGTTTTGCTTTCCAACTAAAACTGGTCGAGCATAACTAAGCTAGTTCAGGACAAGAGCTTGGAAAACATTAGCATTCGAGCACGTGGAAGGAACAACTCGATGCAGATTTAATTTTGAGCATGACACGCAAGTTCCGTATACTTGAACAACGTAGCATTCTAATCGGCTGCGTATCAGTATGGTGGTTGAGCAAATCAAATCGAACAGTTCAGTGGAATAGCTATTCAATTGATACGTATCAGGTCCCCGAATACAATAAGTATATCTATACTTACTGAAAGAGCATCCAGAAAGTAGGAATCGAACCATTGACTATCTATATATTAATGTAGGGTGCCGGCGCAGGGACCAATATATGTACTGCAACTCCATAATCGACTAATAACCATTTGTATGTGTACGTGTGCAGATGTCTTTATAGACAAATGTAAATGTAGTTATCCATATATATATATATATATACATACTTGCCCGGGGGGCGAACATATCCAGCTCCACCGCCTGTCTGGGTCCCCGAAGATCGATCCCCCAGGCGGTGGATATGCAGAAATGCTTGCCTCGGACCTCCTCCTCCTCCTCCTCCTCCTGCCCAGTGCTCCTGGTGCTCCCGGCGGAGCTCGCGGAAAGGCAAGTGGGGCACGGATGGGTCTGCTTCACCCTGCTGGGGGCAAACGCTCTTCCCCGACGGCTCGAGTACCACAGCTCGGGGGACCACGGAGCTGCGGAAACGCGGAGTGGGCCGTGGAGGAGATGAAAACGCCAGCCCTGCCCCCGGTCAAGGCCCTGTGCGGCGCGCCCTATGGCCTTCAGAGGACCCACGGGACCGAACAAAAACTCTCAAGAGGCCCGAAGACGCCCCAGGAGGCCCCCAAGCGGCCCCAAAGAGGCCCCCAGAGGGCCCCCCAGGGGCCCCAAACGGCCTCCCCCGTGAACATCATCCCTCTTCTGGGGGTCCAGCGGAAGGGCGTAAGCCTCTTGAAAAAGACTGCAAGCCTTGCCCCGGTGAAGGCCCTGTGCGGCGCGCTGGCGACGAGGTCCCGAAGAGCTCCGCGCGCGGAGAGGCGCGCGTGTGGACCAGAAAAATACGCGCACGCTGAGCGCGCGCGCAGGTCCGTGGGCATTACGTGGGGCCCTGCGTGCCAGGTGAGAAGACCCCAGGCGTGGTCCCCCTCTCTCTCGTGGGGATGCGGGGCCCCCTGGGGCCACTCCTCCACTTCCTCCCCCTCGCCAACGTCAGCGTCCTTCTTCTCGCCCTATCATTATCCCTCATCCTCGCTGCCGCCGTCATCTCCTCTCCCCCTGGTCCTCGCCTCGCCCTCTTCCTCGCCCTGACCTTCGTCGTCCTCTTCCTTGTCTCCCGCTTCTTCGGATTCGATTTCGTCCTCGCCCCAAAGCTGACTTACTTTACACTCCCATTCGGGCGACAACAACCAACGTGCACCACTCGGCGCTGGACAACTCTGACCGGCTACACTGGCTTCCACGGGCCGGGCCCTGCGTTCAGCCCTTTCCCTCACGACACCGCTCCCTCATGCCGATCACCCCTGCGCGGCGGCCAGGGCTGCGGGCTCCGAGAGAGGGCTGGACCTTGCGCTGGACCCCTTCCCCGGGACGAGCGTTTCATCCTAGGCCGTCTCTGGACGGTCCGCCCGGCTCGAAAACATCCCATCGTCGGATCACCTGGTTGTTCGATGACGAATTGCGGTGCCCCCCCCTCGTTGGACGCCGCAATGGGAACGGAAAAATGGAGACGATGCCCAACAAGACATGCCATCTAAAACAGCACCCGCTGTTGGGCAGGCGGTCCTCTGTTTTCGATGGACAGCGTCCGCGGCGACACCGCCAGCAAGCTCTGTTCAAAGTGAACCACAGGGCGTGATCCGCCGTCGCTGGCCTGAGCAAATTTTGCAAGGGGGGTCTCAGA